CCCCCCCAGGGATGGCGAGGTCTAGTTTGAATCTGCGTGTGGCGTCACTGCGCTGGGCCCCCCAGCATGCCTCGAAAGTGGCGGCTGTTTCACAGATCGCAGCACCCCAGGGATGGCGAGGTCTAATTTGAGTCCGCGGTGGGTACCCACTGTGCTGGGCCCCCCAGCAGGCCTCGAAAGTGGCGACAGTTTCACAGATCGCAGCCCCCCAGGGATGGCGAAGTCTAATTTGAGTCCGCAGTGGGTATCCACTGTGCTGGGCCCCCCAGCAGCCCTCGAAAGTTGCGACAGTTTCACAGATCGCAGCCCCCCAGGGATGGTGAGGTCTAATGTGAGTCCGCGGTGGGTACCCACTGTGCTGGGCCCCCCAGCAGGCCTCGAAAGTGGCGACAGTTTCACAGATCGCAGCCCCCCAGGGATGGCGAGGTCTAATTTGGATTTGCGGTGAGTGCCCACTGCGCTGGCCCCCCAGCAGGCATCGAAAGTGGCGACAGTTTCACAGATCGCAGCTCTCCAGGGACGGCGAGGTCTTATTTGAGTCCGTGGTGGGTACCCACTGTGCTGGGCCCCCCAGCATGCCTCGAAAGTGGCGACAGGCTCACAGATCGCAGCCCCCCAGGGATGGCGAGGTCTATTTGAGTCCGCAGTGGGTACCCACTGCGCTGGGCCCCCCAACAGCCCTCGAAAGTGGCGACAGTTTGACAGATCGCAGCCCCCCAGGGATGGCGAGGTCTAGTTTGAGTCCGCGGTGGGTACCCATTGTGCTGGGCCCCCCAGCAGGCTTCGAAGTGGCGACCGTTTCACAGATCGCAGCCCCCCAGGGATGGAGAGGTCTAATTTGAGTCCGCGGTGGGTACCCACTGTGCTGGGCCCCCCAGCACGCCTCGAAAGTGGCGACGGTTTCGCAGATCGCAGCCCCCCAGGGATGGCGAGGTCTAATGTGAGTCCGCGGTGGGTACCCACTGCGCTGGGCCCCCCAGCAGGCCTCGAAAGTGGCGACAGTTTCGCAGATCGCAGCCCCCCAGGGATGGCGAGGTCTTATTTGAGGCCGCGGTGGGTACCCACTGTGCTGGGCCCCCCAGCAGGCCTCGGAAGTGGCGACAGCTTCACAGATCGCAGCCCCCCAGGGATGGCGAGGTCTAATTTGAGTCCGCGGTGAGTACCCACTGTGCTGGGCCCCCCAGCAGGCCCCGAAAGTTGCGACAGTTTCACAGATCGCAGCCCCCCAGGGATGGCGAAGTCTAATTTGAGTCCGCGGTGGGTGCCCACTGTGCTGGGCCCCCCAGCAGCCCCCGGAAGTTGCGACAGTTTCACAGATCGCAGCCCCCCAGCTGGCACGCAGCGACGAGCGAGGTAAAAGGCAGGGGGGAAGAGAGGGGCGGGAACGAAGGAAGAAAGGAGACGCGCGAGCAGTGCTCTATTCAAAACGAGAACCCAACGCAGGAGGGTTGGGAAAAATCTCTCCCCCTCCAGCCCAGGCTTCGTGGTGCCTGCAGCTCCGGAAGAGTCCATGGTCTGCGGCGGAAAGTTACCAAGAGCAGGAGCGCTCACGGCCCCACTCCAGACCGCTCGACCACGTCAGGCACATCCGCGGAGACTTCGTGAGACTAGTCAGGAGGCGTCGGCTGGGCCTGGACAGACAGGGGGGCAATAGAGGAGGGAAGATGATACGCATGAGGGCAGAAATTGGGCTCGTGAGCCCACTGATCCGCGTCGCCAGGCCGGCCCTATCCCCTTTTTCCTCGTCCTCGAGGTTCGCAATTCGTACGACGAGACTTCTCTTACTCACAACAGTCCGCAAATGAAGTAGGAAATTTGGCAGCACGCTCCTCCATTGCATTTTGATGCTGAAGACTGCGCTGCACCCTAGCACGACCGGCCTGTGACCCGACTGCCGATTCCTTAGTGGGCCTCGTGGCCTGCGGGCGTTTCCCCGGGGCCTCGGGGATTCCAGCGACGAGCTGCTCACCCGACCTGCGACTGCGTATCCCGAGCCCAAGGTGCTGCTTGCGTGGCACAGCCAAGACCGGATCCACGGCAACAGCGAACGGCACAGCTGATTTCGGAGGTGGATAGACCTCCTACCCTGACACCTCGATTAGTGAATTGGCCGTTTTCGGTTCGCGAGAGGGCGTCGCGGCCGTCATTTTTGCGGGTCCAGCTCCGCCGGTTTCGGTCCCAGGCCGCTTTCACTAAGGGGAGGTCTACTAAAGGGAGGTTTGTCCACCGCCGATGATTGCCTACACAGAATATAATCGGTGACCGTGTCCGAGCCAAGCCTGCAAGTAGCAGCACCTCTTGTCGGCAGCACCACAGCACGCAACTGGTTCAACAGTTTTGACCTGTCCTATCGAGTGAGCGAGAGATTGAAATCCCTGACGACGGGCCGTGGCAAGTGGAGAGACCGCAAGAGGCCTGCGAGGCGCTGGAACCTGTCTAGGCTGGCTCCTCTGACTCCAATATTGCTGCGAGCATGAAAACGGACAACGACCAAATGAGAAATGGATGATTGAGGCAGGAAATCCGTCTAGACGCCGAGGGTGCTCTGGCGCCTGCAACTTGGCCGCCGCCAGCTTGGCTGCTGGCAGGCGATGTGTCTGCAAGTGCCCTCTGGAAATGAACCAGTATCCTCCTTCATTGGGGTGCTCGAGCGTATTCGACTTGGAGATGCTCTCCGTCGAGTTTGGCAGATGGCCTCGCTGAGTCGAAGGCCCTGCCCTCTGGACTTCGCTTCGGATCTGTTGAACACAAACTCGTCACGGATGTGAGCCTCGCCCACGCTGTAGACATCGAAGGGCTGCGCAGCGAGCCAGCTCCACGACTCCTCCCCCTCTACACTGGACGCTGGCATAAGACAACCTGGAATGTCTATGCCTCCCCGCTGACCCGGAGGACAGCTCATCTGCTTCGGAAATCGTCGTCGTTGTCGTCGTCGTCGCCGCTGCTGTCGTCGTCGTCGTCGTCGTCGTTCTCGTCCTCGTCCTCGTCCTCGCCGTCGGCGCCGGCGTCGGCGTCCAGACCTCTGGGGGTCGACGTTGTGAAGCAACGATGTCGGGGGTCTGGGCCTCCTCTTGGCCATCCTCGCCTCGATGTCGCCCTCGACCTTCTCCAGCTGGGCGAGCCAGTTCTGCACCTCCGCCTCCCTGGGAGCCACGGCGCCGAGCGTGGCCTCGAAGTTGGCCTTGATGCTGCGCAGCACCACCTTCGCGCCGTCTCATGGCGCCAACATCGCAGAGCGGGTTTCGTTCGAAAAACGATGGTCAGAGCCCCGAATCATCAGGGGTAACTCGGGTCAGGGATAACTCGGGTTCGTTTTTCGGGAGTCCGAACCCGAGTTATCCCGGACCCGAGTTACCCCGGATAACTCGGGCGTCCAGAGCCCCGAATCATCAGGGGTAACTCGGGTCAGGGGTAACTCGGGTTCCTTTTTCGGGAATCCAAACCCGAGTTACCCCGGACCCGAGTTACCCCGGATAACTCGGGCGCCCAAGATGGGGTGGGCCCAGATTGTCCTGGAGAATTGCGCTCCAGATTTCGAGGTGGATTTCGTGCGGACTTGTTTTGGCCAGGAATGGCGGCCAACAAAAAATCCAAGCGAAGTTCACTTCGTTTTTCGCTCGCCGATTCGGGAAACAAATGCACGCAGAAATCCACGCAAAAATCCGCTGCAGCACGTCTGCAAGGCCGCTGCAATGAGCTGTCCTCGCAGTCCATGCCCTCGACCTGGTCGAAGGAAAGCACGATCCCACGAAACCTGGAAGATGGATTTGTCCTTGCCGCCCTTGCTGGTCTCCTCGATCTCGCGGCCTGCACCCCCTCGGCGTGCGCCAAGGCGTGCGCCGCCGCCTTCCTTCGAAGCCCTGGCGACGGCGACCTCCCCGGCCGCCTTCGCCTCCTTCTCCTCTGCTGCCTGCAGCTGTTGCCGTAGCTGGAGGACGCTTGCCACTTGCTGACCATGTCGATGCTCCGCATCCTGGTATGCCCCATCAGCGCGGCGAAGAGCTTCGGCGGGAGAGACCTCCGCCGTCGCCTTCCCATGGGCTGCCAGCTTGGCCACCTGTTGCGTCAGGCATCGTTTCAACTCATCATCGTTATCGTTGATGGCCCTGCCGGCCCTGTGCAGCAGACCAATCACGCCTCCATCGCTCTCCTCGACGCCGCCCTTCCCCCCCCCCCCCGACTGATGGCAGCATTACAGAAGGGGCTGTGCTCGTCCGAGTGGAACGGGCTGGGGGACTTGAAGATCTCGCGCGGGTGCCGCAACGCCTCGTCCTGCTCCTTCTTCACACCGAACAGAACACGGGTGCGGGGCGATGACCTGCGTTCTCGGCACAGCGGCACACGAAAGCGACATCCTCTGCACATGTTGCCAGCCTTCTGCAGCGCGTCGTTGTACTTGCCCGTGCTATAATCTGCGCGTCTCGTCCATAGCCTCTTGGCCTTGGGTGTCGCCACCACTACAAAGAGAAGATGTTCCTCGGCTTTGGTCGAGACTGAGCGTACATCTAACGTGCAGTGACAGTTGCACAATAAACGGGTACGCTTAGTCTAGTCTGTCAAGTGCCACGAGGAGGCACAGAGGCAGGAGCCCAGGGAAATTTGGGGCCCAGCACCAAAGGAGGAAGAGCTAGAGGAGGAGGAGAAGGAGGAGGAGGAGGAGGATGGCGGGCCTCTCCTCCTTCTGCTCCTAATCTGCCTCGTCTTCCCACGCTCCTCCCTGTCGCCTCCCCTGCTCTTACTCCTCTCTCTCCCTGCCTACTTCCTCCCTCCCTCCCTCCTCCCCTTTTTCCTCCCGGTCCCTCTCTTCCTCCTGCTCCTTATTCCTCCCTCTTCCGAGGGCTTCCTCCTCTCGCTTCCTCATCCTCCTCTTCCCCCTCCTCTCCCTCCTCCTCCTCCTGCTCCTCTTCTTCCCCCTGCTCCTCTTCATCCTCCTTCGCCATTCCTGCTCGCCCCCTTCCCCGGTCACCCAGACACGGGGCCAGAGCGGCGCTCTCCCCTAGGCCGACCTCGCCGCGTGGGCTGGCGACATGCAGGCGGCCACGAAGGTGCGGGAGATAGAGAAGACCGCCTACGACGACTCGCACAAGGACCACTGGGCGACAAGACACCTCCGCACCCCTGGCCTCGCGGGCCGGGCCCCCGCGCCGCGACCCCGCGGATCCCGGGCGCTGCTCCTGCGGATGCCCCGCGCGGCATGCACCCGTGCGCCCGCGCATCCGCAAGCTCGCGCCCCGGAGTCCAGACCGCGAGGCCGTGGACGCGGATGTGTTCGCCGCTCGCGAAGGACCTCTCCGAGTCCGTGTCCGCCCTCGACCGCGCCATCCAGGTCCTCAAGGCGCAGGCCTTCAACCGCAAGCAGGCCTCGAGTCTGGCCCAGGCGCCCGCCGGCGCACGCCGATGTGTTGGCCGCCGCGGCGCTGTGGCCCTCAGGGGCAACGTCTGTGAGTAAAAAACACAGTCTGTGGGTAAAAAACACACAGTGTGTGTGTTTTTACCCACAGTGTTTTTTATACCCACAGTGTGTGTTTTTCACCCACAGTGCGTTTTTTACCCACAGACTGTGTGTCTTTTACCCATAGGGATACGGTCGGGGGCTCGGTGTCCGTGCCCCGAGCTTTTCCGAGCCTCCCGCCCCGCGGAGCGGAGCCGACACGGCCTCCGCTCGCAGCCCCGCGGAGCGGAGCGAATACACACACACACATATATATATATATATATATATATATATATATATATATATATATTCGCTCAGGGGTCGAGCATTGGCGAAGCGTCCCGGCTTGCCGATGGGCCCACCAGAGCATGCTCTGGGAACCTCTCGTGGTCTGCACGAGCTGTTCTCGGAGCATGTCTGGCCAAGAGTGTCCTGTTTGGACACGTCGGGCGTGTGTCCTGAGAGCGCTGCTTCTGCTCGTTGACCACGTTTGGGCTCTAAGAACATGTCTCAGGAGGAGAAAAGAACACACAGACACAATGAATCGTCGATTTCCAAGAACATATGGGAAACTATGGGCAGTGGGGGGGAAGACAGGAACCCCCAAAATATCGGAACAGATGGGGAATCCCTTGACTTGTGTGTATTTATCTGTGTGTCCTGGGGCCCCTTCAAACATGTCGTGGCATACAGGCTTCCAGGACTGCCGGGGCGGCCGGCCCATGCCCAGCAACGAGGAGGGGGGGGACGCGTCGGCCACCCATCGCCGACGGGAGGGGCCGTGGACCCGCCCCGCACGAGGAGGTGCGCCTCCTCGCCTCCTCCTCCTCCTCCTCCTCCTCCTCCTCCTCCTCCTCCTCCTCCTCCTCCTCCTCCTCCTCTCGCTCTTCTTAGCCAGCGAAGGTTCTCTGACTGAAAACCTGCACACCAGAGGAATTATTCATCGCATTCTCCTGCGTGTGCTCGTTGCCGACGTTCATGTTCCGACATGCTCAGCGCACGGTCTGCCCTCTAGGGGACCGCTCCGGTTACCGGAGCTGGCGCGCAGACTTCCGTTCCATTCTCGCGATCGGGGGCCTGTCGCCGATCCGTCGGCGACGGCATCGCCAATCGCAGGTCGACTCTTCACCCCCAGGGCCAGCCCAGGCTTCAGTCGAGCCTGCCCCTCTACAGGGGGCATATCCGAAACTGGTTTGTATTTTTGTTAGCATGTTTGGAACATGTTTTGAGTATTTGTCATTTTTCGCGCAGAATCCCCCTGTAGGGGGAAAGGCCCGACCTAGGCTTAGGCGTGCCCTATAATTCCAGGCCTCCCAGATGGGGTCGGAGTTGATGGGGTCGGAAGATCGCGCCGTACCGCCGATGCATCGACCATGTGGTTCGATGCGGAGCCCAGTTTTCGCCACGCCGATGTCGCCGATGCATCGCCGGTGTCGCTGGTGCATCGCCAATGCATCGCCGATGCATCGGCGTTGCATCGGCGATGCGGTGCGATCCTCCGACCGCATCTACTCCGACCCCATCGAGGAGGCCTCTAGCCTAGGCGTGCCCTACAAAGTCTTCGGAAGGGGGGGAAACATGTTCGTGTCCCGGATGTTCGCAAACTGTTCACCAACGCTCCAGGAACATCAATTCGCGAATTCCAAGACCCCGCTAGGGCCTTGTCCACGGCCGCTCGGTTGAGGGGAAACAATCGGACGGGACTAGGACGAGGATAGATTCGTTCCAGAGCGTTCCGGATCGCTCTCAGAGCGTTCTGGAACGCTCTGAGAAGGCCGCGACGCTCGATATTGCAGAGGCCTCCGGCCAGTGCCGCCGACCCGGGGTGCTACCGATTCTGCTTGCAACGGAGGACCATTTGTTAAAAGAAGAGTACTCGCTCGAGACATGTTCATAAGATAGAGATGTTGAACTCGCTTGGGTAACCGTCGGATATTCGAAAGTGACGATCTCGCGTGAACAGCCAACCTCATGGGATGTCCCCTCCCGCCGTCCAGGCCTGAATGGCGTCAGCCATGGCGTCAGCCCCCGCCCCCCCCCCCCCGACTTCTCCCTCCCGGGCCCGAATGGCGTCAGCCATGGCGTCAGGGCTCCTTCCCTCCCCCCCCCTCCAGATCCCCCTCCCAGGCCTGAATGGCGTCAGCCATGACGTCAGCTCCCCGCTTTTATTTCTCCATTTCACCCCTCCCCCCCATCACTTCCTCCTCCCGGGCCTGAATGGCGTCAGCCATGGCGTTCCCCCCATTCCCCCTCCCCCCCCCCTTCCTGTCCTCCTGCCCTGGCGTTCCCCCCTTCCCCCTCCCATCCTTCCTCCCTCCTGAGCCTGAAATGGCCGTCAGCCCCCCCCCCCCCCCCCCCACCCCCCTCCTCCTCCCGGGCCCGAATGGCGTCAGCCACTCCCCACCACCTATCCCCACCCCCCCGGGTGAGCAGCAAGCCCCCTCCCCCCCTCCTCCCCTCCTGGGCCTGAATGGCTTCAGCCCCACCCTCCCCCCCCCCCCCCTCCCTCCTCCCTCCCCGGCCTGAAATGTCTCGTCAAGGAGCCCCCCCCCCCCCCCGTCCCCCCCCCCCCCCCCCCCGCCCCCCCCCCCACCCCCCCCCCCCCCCCCCCCCCCCCCCCCCCCCCCTTCCTACATAAACGAAGCACCCCTCCTCCCTCCCGTTCCTGAATTCTTTTAGCCCCCTCCCTCCTCCTTCCCCATCGCCCCTCCTCCTTTGGTTTTGGCGTTCACCCTCCCCCCCCCCTCATCCTCCTCCCTCCCTGCGCCTGAATGGCGTCCAGCCCCCACCCCCCCCCGCCCCCCCCCCCCCCCCCTCTCTTCCTCCTTCCCGGGCCTGAATGGCGTCCAGCCCCCCACCCCGCCCCCCCCCCCCCCCCCCCTCTCCACAACGAAAGCCCCCCCCACCCCCCCACCTCCTCCTCCTTCCCGGCCTGAATGCGTCAGCCCCTCCCCCCCCTCCTCCCTTCCGGGCCTGAATGGCGTTAGCCCCCCCTGCCCCGACACACAGAGCGAAGCTGCCCCCCACCCCTCCTCCCTCCTGGGCCTGAATGGCGTCAGCCCCACCCCTCCTGCTTCCCGGGCCTGGATGGCGTCAGCCCCCACCCCCCCTCCTCCTTCCCGGGCCTGAATGGCGAGGAGAGAGGCTCTGTCGGAAAAAAAGAATGAGATTTCTCGGAGATGTGAGGTCTGTCCTGGAGGGGGGGGGTTGTCGGAGCGGGGGGGGTGTATGTGAGAGCGGGGGGGGTCTGTAGGAGAGAGAGAGAGAGAGAGTGAGTGTGAGAGAGAGAGAGAGAGAGCGTACGAGCGGAAAAGAGATATGTCCGAAGAGGGGGGGTCTGTCTTGGAGGGGGGGGGTCTGTAGGAGAGCAAGCGGAAGAGCGGAAAGGGATATGTCGGAAGGGGCGGTGTTTTTTTTTTGGAGGGGGGTCTTTCGGAGGGGGTGGTCAGAGAAGAAGATTCTTCTCGGAGCGATGGAAATGTGTGTGTGTGTTGTATGTGTGTGTTGTGTGTGTTGTGTGTGTGTGTTGTATGTGTGTGTGTGTTGTGTGTCTTGTGTGTGTGCTGTGTGATCAAAGCTGGTGACGGCCCCCCTCCCTCGGAAAGGGCCCCTGAACACCCTGCCACGGTAACCACATTTTGTTACGGTCCTCTCCCCGAAGGGGTCCCTGGACCCCATGCCACCGTAAGCAAACTTAGTTGCGGTCTCGTCCCTCTCTCCCTCACTCTCTCTCCCCCTTCTTCGCACATCCTCTATTCAGCATAGGTTGAATATATGAATATAAACCGTTACACCTATTGATACATCTGTACATACACTATTACATGTTATGAATACATGATATATGTACTATTAGTTAAACATATACACGTGTACACATGTTTATAACGTGATATTGCTGATACATGCGATTTACGTATATGTTCAATCAAGCCCATCAACATAGTCATACTCAATTGCCGTTCCATCCGCAGCTACATTGACGCACACACATCTGCATATATAGCATATTCGAACACACAACGCATATTTACACACATACATACATACATACATACATACATACATGCATGCATGCATGCATACATACATACATACATACATACATACATACACATATATACACATACATACACACACATCCATACATATATCCATACATATATGCATACATGCATGCATACATACATACATACATACAAACATACATACATACATACGCACATACATACACACGTGCATTCATACATACATACATGCATAAACATACATACATATCACTATACACAGATGACGCGTATACACCCACATACATGTTTATATTCATATCCATAGTCCGTTACGTATCAACCCGCATTTACATTCACAACTACATTCACATACATTCGCTGCGTGCAAATAACATACATACACCTCCACACAACCATTCACACATACATATCAGCATTTATCGACGCATACATATACAGATGCATACGCAACACTGCTTAGGATAAGCCATGAGGCCTTGAGTGGCTCCTGGAGGCCTGAGGAGATCCAAGGATGTCCCAGGAGGCCCCAGGAGGCAGCAGGAGGTTCCAGCAGGTCAGGCACCGTAAGGTCCCAGGATATAGATTAGGAGGCCCCATGAGATCCCAGGAGCAAAGGGGATGCCAGGAGGCCACAGGAGGTTCCGAGAGGAGGTGCTGGCGCTCCTCCCTCCTCCTCCTCCTCCTCCTGCTCCTCCTCCTCCTCCTCCTCCTCCTCCTCCTCCTCCTCCTCCTCCTCCTCTTTGTCGTCCTCCTCCTCCTCCTCCTCCTCCTCCTCCTCCTCCTCCTCCTCCTCCTGCCCCAGGAGGCCTCAGGAGATGCCAGGAGACTCCGGGAGGCCCCAGCCCCTCAGGAGACCACCGGAGACCCCCAGAAGCCCTCGCCGGATGCAAGACGCCCCGGAGTTCCCAGGAG